TACACAAAAATGCCAGTGGAGTTGAAAGGACCAGAAGTGATAAAAAAAGTATAAGGTGATAAAGACTGGGATATAGTTCTGCTAAAGAAGGCAAGACAAAGAAAAGAAGTGTAACTCTGCTAACAGTGGAAGAGAAGCTGGGCACCCTGGTCAGGTGTGCTGTAGCAAGCAGAGGAGTAGGACACCAGCTCCAGGCCAGGGGTGTTAGAAAATAGCTCTGTGTCCTGTGTCTCATAAGGGAATTCAAGCTGGCTAAGGCCTGTGTTGAGGTCATACATGGTTGTAATTCTTTTCAGGACTGTAGTTTGGCCAGGGGAAAAAAAAAAAAAGCCAAGGGATTTGAGATTGAAAATAGTGGTATAATCAAAAGTGGAAATGGTAAGAGCCAAAGGACAGGCTGACTTGTCAGCTCTCACCAGCGGTGTGGATGGGGGAAAGCAAGTTGGAGAGAAGTGCAAATGAGCCCTAGCAAAGATGAGGAGATGTAACCAGGGGAAAGCTGGGTCAAAAAGAGAGTCCTGTTACCCATTTGCTAAACCAAAGGGACAGAGGTCTGAAAACATACTACAAAGGTGAAGGAAGGGATGCACCAGTGTGAGAGTAACTAAAGAGAAAAAACATACAGAGGGTAGAGGGAAGGAGCCTTCAGGGCAAAAGGGTGTCCAAAGGGACCTTGGCATCTGTGTAATGCTTCTCAACTGGCACATCCATCCTGAGCCTTTTCAGGAGGCTGAACTCACAACACCTTTGTATAGTGGGTTGACCTGGCCAGATACCAAGTACACACTAAAGCCGTGGGATGCATGAAGGAAGCTGTGACCCTATGGGAGGCCCAAGATGGAGCAGGGTCCTACCAGGGACCTGCAACCTGTGGAGAGGGAAGCCCACACTGAAGCAGGTTTATCCTGAGTAGGACTTGTGTTCCCTGTGGGGACTCGCGTTGGTACAGCTCACTCATGAAGGACTGCACCCCATGGAGGAGTGACCTTCGGGACAGCAGTTTGGGAAGAACTGCTGCCTGAGGGATGGACTCACGCTGGAGAGGTCCATCAAGGACTGTCTCCCGTGGGAGGGACGCCATGGGAGCGGGGGAAGGACTCCTCTCTCTGAGCAGTGCAGAAACAACAACTGACCTCAAACCCCATTCCCCTGCACTGCTGGAGGGGAGGAGGGAGAACATGGAAGGAAAGAGAGGGGAGAGGAAGGTGTTTTTAAGACTGTTTTATTTCTCACTCTTTGGCTCTTATCGTGTTAGTAATAAATTTAAGTACTATTCCCACACTGAGTCTGTTTTGCCTGTGAAGGTAATCAGTAAGTGACCTCTCCCAGCTGTTATCTCAACTCATGAATCCTTAGTTGTTTTCTGTTCTCTCTCCTCTGTCCAGTTGCAGAGGGAGAGTGAGAGAACGGCTTTAGTGTGTACTTGGTATCTGGCCAGGGTCAATCTGGCCAGGGTCAACCCACTACACCTTGCTTCACTGCTTGTTTGGCTGCAGCTGCAGTTGTTGCTTTGGAGCAGCACAGAATTATGCAAGAAGATTTTTCTGTAGTAATTAGTCAACACTAATTACAGTGGTGTGTTGGTAATTATTGATGATTCATAAACTGCAGGGGCTGTAAGTCTGCAGGCATAAGGGGGTAAAGATTTTTGTACTGATAATTTAGAAAGGTGGAAATTTAATGAAGCAGTAACTGCATTTTGCTTAATGTCACTGCTATGATAGTAAGGTAATTGATGATCACTGATTTACAAAAAAGCATAATAGTTAAGAAAGTGACATTGATTTTGTCTAATTATTTGATTAATAACTTATTCCTGTGGAGATTGGTTAGGATGTTATAATGATATTGAAAATAATATTAGGCAGTTTAAAATGTTAAAACAAAATTTTTTTCACTTTTTTAAGGTTTTATGTTTCCAGGTGGTTACTTTATTTTTTATTTCTTTGCTTCCAACACTGTGTCTGTTCCTCTGCTCACTGAAATTGGGGATTTTCTCACTGACCTCTTTGGAATCAGGCTTATCTCTTCGTGTTTTACCAGAAAAGTCTGTTATGGGCTACTACACCAATTGATTTAGACTGCAGATCTATTAACAGTCCTTCCTAGCAGTCAGTCACATAATGAGAGCTTCATTTAAATTGGAAATCATCAGCAATGTGATATTCACTTATGTGAGAAAATGAACAGCAGTCATGGTATCACTGCTATGCCATGTCCACATGGTCACATTCTTCTGGAAGTTCAGAATATGTGGAATTTGTTCCTTTAGGCCCATGAGAGATTCATAGGACATTTGTGAAGGCCAGACACATGTCATTATTCTTGTTGCCTCCCGTAGCTGAGTTTTGAAAAAGTGAGTCAGTCACTTATACCCACAGTAATTTGGGCATATAAATCCAAGGGTCTGATTCGGCTCGTAAAACAAGACTCAGGAAGGAGTATTTCAGATGTACTTTTTGCTATATTTGACAAGAAGGTTTATTTATCCTTCCCATACTCAAGTTCATTACCAGTCTTAATTTGACAGTTCCATCTGTTTCCGTGCATCGTATAAGTAATGAAGTTAGTCATTTTGGGGACTTAAAGGCTATACATGGCAATCTTTCATATATAACAGCACCTATTTTGCATCCCTCTGTGGTTCTGACCCTATCATTTCTGCACAGAGCAGGACAGGGACAAGTTCACCTACATCAGAAGGCTCAGATTTCTCAATTTTCATCATGCTTTCCTGCTGTTAGCAAAGGCAGAAACACCCTGAAACTGAAAGGAAGGGAGGAAGAGAGAAAAAGACCCTGATTTTTATGTTCTTTTTTTCTAGTGTTTTCTATTCCTGAGGCTGACACAGAAGCAGCAGGGAGAAAAACTCTGAGTCAGAGTCTGAGTGAGTGGATTATTTTGTTGTTGTTGTTTTACAATAAACAGGATAAGAAAAGTGGCTAATCTATAAAGTAATCTCTGTAAAGGATTTGATAGACTTGCCTGCATTGATCTATGTCTTGGAGACAGTTATTCCATTTTTGGCAATATAGAGTGACTAAAACTGGATGTCCTCTGAAGTGGTAGGAAGTGGAAGGCATTCATTTACAATGTGAGTTCCCTAGTGTATTTCCCTAGCATTGATAAATGGATAATAAAATAAATATATGTGTCCTAGCATACACGGATATATCTGTGTTGTTCTTTTGTTGAAAAATCCCAGGCTCTTGATCCACACATTCTGAGACAGTTTGAGCTGTGCACTGTCAAAAAAGAAGCTTTTGCTCTGACACTGACCCAGATCTGTTGTGTAGTCTTACAGATTTTCTAAACATTTTTTTTTTTAATAAAAGTAAATCAAGATAAAAAAATGTATTGAAGAGTTTCCTAGATAGTACCAGTGAAGTGTGAATGTGCTGTTTTTCTTTTTTGGTTGAAGGGGAAGAGAAAGTGGGAGCTTTCGGAGAACTGTTTCTCTAATCTTACTCTCAAGTCATGGTTTATGATAGGTGCTTTCATTTCTGTTGAGATACGCTTACAGGCACTAAGCTACATTCTGCTACAGCGGGAGCTCAAGTGGGAAGTGAAGCTTTTCTGTGAGAAAGGGGGAGGTTAACTACATTTATATTGGAGGCAGTTTTTGCTTTGGAGAACAGTGGCAGGCTTTGTAGTTTAATCTTTTGGAGTATTGCCCATTACCACCTTCTGACGTACGTTGTTGGGCTGAGAAGAATCGATGTGCGGTGGTGCATGAAAGCCCAACGTGCCAGTCGTAGCTATACATAATACTACTGTCTCACATGCAGGCAAGGCTGTTAATACTTAACACAGTATTGTACTGTCGGAAGGAAAATGTTGAATACTGGTGCCTTCAATAATTTTGAATATTGTTACATATTCCTTTGAAAAATGCATTTTTAAAGGATTAAGTGTTACCTGTGTAAAAGGCTCAAACTTATCAAGCATCACAGAGCAAAATGCCACAGAAATAATGCTCCAGGATTCCTATGTGTCAGGGAATGGCCCTGGGACTCTGTCTGCAATTAGGATTTTGGTCAAATTATATGTCTTGGGGGGTGATTGCTTTAATTTGCTTACCCCAGGTACCTGGGGCAACTGGTAACTAGGAAAGCAAAAGAATCTGCCCTTTTGGAGATTGGTAACTTGCAACTAATTCTCCATATGCATGAGGGGAACAACATTTTAAGGATTCAAAGACTCAAAAGTATGTGCATCTGTGGGAAGACATATGTATTGTTCTGTTGCTTAACAACCTTCTGTAACTAATGGATTGAAGTGAAACAAATCAGTGGTGTACAGGAGAAGTGTATTGAAATGTATCAAGACACAGAAAGTATTAAGGTAGTCCAACTCCTAGGAAATATAACAAACAAAGCAGCCACCACCTACATCTACTGGCTTTCTTGCAGTAGGTTTAAATTATGATGTGCTTTCATGTCTTCTGAAAATGTCATGGCTCACATGGTAGTGATGTTTTTACCTGAAAACTAAAATTGTTCTGGGAAACAGCTTTAAATCTGCAACTCAAACAAGTTCCCTTGTCTGAAAAGTCACTTCTTTCCTGATCAAACTCATTAAAACACTATTATTTAGTGTATGTCACAAGACCTTTAATACAAGTTCTGTATTATATTCAAATGAATAGGGCAATTTTTGGCCAGAAATAAATGGCTTTCTGTAATCTTAAGCAACATACAAGTCCTTCTATGTAACTAAAATACTCTTTTGGGGAGAGAGGGAAAAGGAAGTGGTGTTTCTTGATTCCTTGTTTAAAACCCTACAATTTTTAAATTGCAGGCAAATAAAGCAAAATTAGGAATTTAGTGAATATGATCATGTAAGATACACTTCAAAGCAGCCGAATTAAGGCTGCTAGTCATATGCCAGACTGCCTTTGAGCCTCTTTCGTGGTTCTGTTTTATCTTTCCTTCTTGCATGTAAAATGCTATCTTATTAAGACCTAAACTGAAAAAAATATCTGTATTGCTCTTCTTTAGCAGGCTTCAACTACAGAAATACAAGTTGGGCCCATGAGACTGACACAATACCCAATTCAGGTAAGATGCTCCTTCAGGTTCTTGATACAGCCAATTCAGTGTTAATAGTTAATAGTTATAGTTAAGTATCTTATTTTCATTTCACTTGTACTAGGATTGTGAGATGGGTAATAGGTGTTTTGCTGTATCTGATTGCTTGAGAAGAGATTTACAAGTAAATTAAGTTGGTAAACAATATGCTTAGATTTCCATTAATGTCCCATCATACTCATATGTCCTGTCAGTAGGAGTATGTGTGTATGTGCATTAACAAGGGAAAGAGCTTCCTCTGTGCATATTAAAAACTATTCAGTTCTGATATACCAAAGTGGAGAGCTTCATGGAGTTTAAGTACACATCCAGGTTTTCTGGGGTTTGCACAACAGGACAGAGAACTGTAACAGGGCAAAGAACTGTGGTTCTGCAGATCACCAATCCAAGAAATCATATGACCTCCAACAAAACAGGTTGAACTTCAGCTTAAGGAGCAACAGCTGTCACCTATACCTGCTTCTTTTTCTGTAGGTTTTATTCCTGTGACAGTAAACAAATGCCAAGTATTATTTTTTTTTTTAGCTTATAGCAGGTGTTGGAACTCTCAGATTATAGGAAATTAAATATTTTTAAGCTTTAATATTGTTCTAGTGATACGTAATTCATTTGAATTAACCTTGGAGTCAGTTAATTCTATAAAATACGGAGACATTTAGTCACCATCACTTTTTCTGTGAAAAATTTATGTGTGGAAAAAATGCTATTCTTGGGGAAACTAACTTGTATATATGCATCATAGAGCTTTACATTTTTATGACTCTATTGAGCATCTTAATTATGACTTGATCCAATGAAATATTTGTTGATATTGTAACGAGATTGTGGAACAGCGGCTTCAGCAATAGAACAGCCTTTGGTTTTGCAAGGAATTTCAACACAGAAATGTAGAACTCTTCACAGAATAATATTCTTTAAACCATGACCATCTTGAGAAAGATGCTAAAGCAGTCCTTTAGCAACTACAAATACTCTCAGTCCTTATGTCAGTGTATTGCATTGTAGAAATTGGATTTGCCAAAGTATCATCATTTCAGTGTTAGCCGTTACAAGTGAAGATTTTTCATATAAGAAGCAAAAGTAGTATTTTTTTTGTTTTTAAATCTGACATTCTCCTTGCTATCTTGACATATGTTTTTTTGTCCCTGCATAACAGAAGTGATAATCGGTGTGAAAATCCATGTTAAGTAAAGCAGAAACCATTCTTTAAGTAAAATCATTAACTGAAGAATTTTCCACAAAGACGTTCCCATACACTAACTTATTATGGTAAAGGTAAAACACTTCATGTAAAGCCACCTTCTTTGTTTGTGGAACACACCATATTGCCTCAGATAATTTGGCAAGTGTTACACACATCCATACCTCTAAAAAATGTGTGCTAATCTTTTATTCCATCGTAACAATGCAATTACATGTTTCTCTGTGCAGTGCAAACAGCTACGGAATATCACATTTTAAATGTCTGTTTGTGGGTGATTAATAATGTTTACAATTGTCTGAGAAGCAAGTTCAGTTTGTTAAAACAATTGCCACTGGGACTTTTCTACTTTTCTTAACAAAGTTCATTTTATTCTGGTGTGTGTTTTATGCTATTGTGGGACACCTGTGCCAACCTTGAAATGGCACACATTTTTTGTCTGAGAGGTGACCTTACTTGTGACCTTATGGCTGTGACCTGCCATAAACCTTTTAATAGATTCCTCACTGGACTTTATGACTGTATATGTTGGAGAAAAAATCTGCTTTGGTTTATACTGGATCATGACCCAGGTGCTTCTGGCCTTAAGAGGCAAGGGGGAGAGTCTAAAGTAAATGAACAAGCCCTCGCCATCCTAACATGCCACATACAGCTTGCACATCTGCCCCAATTTTGTACCAAGGCTTGCAAATAGGAATGGTTGGATTCTGAGACCTTAGAAATGACCATGATAAAAGTACATGTAAATGTGCCCTCTCCAGAGGACAGAGGAGGTAGGTGGTTTTTATAAACATTTAGTGCACATTAAAAAGGTGTTGTATCTTGTTGCAGAAGTGTTTATTAGGGCTGATAAACGTTTGGGTGTGCACCTATTCAAATGCTTCATTTTCTCACCTTTTAGGATATTCATTTGCCATAATCTCTTTCACAACATTGACATCAAACTCCATTTCTGGTCTGATGATTTTGAAATTCCCTGATGAGCTGCAAATGAACCATGTCGGCGCACAGCATTTTGTTGTTTCCTCATGCCAATTTTTGGACTAAAATTTTTGTAACTTAATTCAGGGATACTATGTCTTTTCCACCTTAAAAGTCTCTTGCTGGGATATGATGACGTGAAAATAATTAAATAACTTCTTAAGTTGCTGTAATTTTCTGTTTTCTTTGAGTATCCTGCATGTCCTAAGCTGATGTCCCTTACTTTATTTCAAGCTCTTTAGGGAAAATTTCTGTCCATTTTCTATATTTGTACAATAAACTGGGAGCAAGCTGTACAATAGTTGTGTGAAGCAAGCACTTAGAAAGAGAGTAAAAAGTACATCACCGAAATTATAAAGGTCTCCATAGAGAAAGTTCATGGTGCTCCTAAACCAGGGCAGCACTGATTTTTACAGCAGCACTGGCAAATTATGCAGCGAAAGATAACTACCTGCATTTTTTTTTGCCAAGGGACACAGATCAAATTCAAGAATTTCCTTGATCGTGTTGTTTGTATGAATTGTTATACTTTTATCTTGACTTTGAGAAAGTATCTTACACTATACTTCTAGTTAGGTTATGTTTTGGTGATTAATAGTAAGCTTCATACAAATGCTAATGAGAAAGCATAGTAGTAAAACTTTAAAAAAAAGTTTAACGTTAATATTCTCGGAAGGATTTGCACACTAATAATTAGCTACCAGTGAGAGATTGGGTGGTTTAATTAAGCTGTATTATTTTACAGCTGGTAAATAATTGTATTTTGCAGTCCTTTCTTTCCAAACTGGGAGTGCTGAGAGAAGGAAGATAAAAAATATGCACACCCCTATGCCAAATTTTTCTGAACCATATTGTTTCAAACAAAGGAACAAAATAAAACTAATGGCAGCTGGAACCAAACAGAAGATTATATCTGAGTAGGCACTTCACCCAAGAATGGGCAGACAAAGTCTGCAGCTTGACCACATCGCTGCTTTCCATCACTTTGATGGCTGGAAAAAAAATCAGGCATTAGGTAGAATGGCAACACTTACCTCGGATGTTGTGTGTCAGTAAACCAAATCTAGGTATTATTAGTTGCAATCAAAACTGTTTCTAATAAATTGAAATTTCCTAATTTGTTTCTTAATAATTATGGAAATTCTGAGCACATAATTTTCTTCCACTGTTTAATGAAATCTTGACTGGTGGTTCTGTCACAGTAACACTGATTGATTTTTTAATTGTTTAGAATTCAACAATCCAGACAGCTCAGGATAAGAGGAAAGATATGCTCACCTTTTCTAACTGCTAGACTGACGGTGTTGAAATTCATGGGCTGACATCACAGCTGCACAAAGCAGCACAGATGAAAGGTTACTGACTTCTCTTGTGGGCATTTGGAGCAAAATTTTGCAAATTTTTCACAGACAGGTTGTTTCATTGAAGTCAGGTATGACTTTTATTTGTGAAATGAACAGGATTTTGCTTTATAAGTGATTACTCTGTAGCTGCTGCCTTTCAGTGCAATTTAAATAGCTGTGGATAAACTTTTGACTTTGTGAGCCCTTCTTTTTCACAGTATATTTGCACTAAATTAGCCCTTTTCTTCATCTGACACACAGAGCAGCATGGTTAGTTACCTGTCGCTATGGTAAATATATGCAAATTGTAATGAGGAATGTCTACATGACTTGTGTGCCTTGCTGAATAAATTGTACTCTGATAATGTATGTATTATAGAAATGGATAGTCTCTCCTAAAAACATTTTCTCTTACATGAGAAGCACAGAAATACAGCCGTTTTCAGTCTCTATTCTGCGTGTCAGTTAGCAAACAGGCTTCCTACAGCATCTCCTTGCTTTTCAGAATGGCACCTCAGTACACATCCTATCCAATTTTGCGTGAGCAGTTCCTTAAGTGTTCAGCTGAAATTGTTGAAACTACCTCATATATTCAGGGACAATTTGGGACAATTTATTGAGTACAAAATTGTGATGTTTGATTTTCCCCCCCACACACCTAATCCTATCCAAACCTGCTCTTTTCAGTATTGAAATAATATTGGTTATGAATAAAACTGTGCTATGTTAATTGTTTGTCCCTATTCAGGGAAAAGTGATGATTAGTTGCATTTCAGACAGTTCCTTACAATCAAAAGTGTGCATAGCTTGGATGGCCTGATGGGAGTGGCAATGATGTTTGAACACTCTGGGTGATTACTGAATGAATTGGAACAGGAGGTAGGAAAAAATCATCATCTAGCGAGCTAGTTTTGTCCTGAAAACCAGACCTACTCAATTAACTATTGATTATCCATTGATGACCTCTCTATCCATTAAGAAAGTTGTACTACTGCATCAGCTGCTTTACAAGCTGTGCTTCAGCCTTCCCATTTTCAGACTCAATCTTTCATAGAGCAGAAGTGTTTGTTAAGATTTGCACCATGCAGAGGACTACTTTGTGTGTTTAATGTGGTGCTGCTGTTTTGCATCCTTTGCAGGTTTTGCTCATCTTTGCAAAAGAAGACAACCAAAGCAATGGTTTCTGGTGGGCTTGTGACAGAGCTGGATACAGGTGCAATATTGCCTGGACTCCAGAGTCAGCACTTGAATGTTTTCTTGATAAGCACCAGGAAATAATTGTTATAGATCACAGGAACTCCAGATACTTTGATGCAGAAGATATCTGCAGGTAACTTAAATGACCTTATGCTTCTCTTGAGCTTCGGAATATATTGTACAAAACAAAACCTCTGAATTTTAAAACAAAAATAGTGAAAAAGAAACAAAAATGAACACCCAAAATTACAAGAAAGTGGAAGTTGGGGAACAGAGACTAGGAGGTTTGCATAAATCTGTAAGAGAATAACAATATGACAACTACACTTTTTGCAAAGATGAATTGCAGAATTGTCTCTAGGTCATGGGCTTCTATCAGAGCATAAGCCAGAGCTGTTGTGAAATTATTCCCTTCTATCTGTGTCTGTTTTTTTCCTGGCTTACTGCTACAGCAAAGTTTGAAACTGCAGACTTCAAAGGAGCATGTTTGCCCACTAGGTCAGGCACTGCCAGTTCTCTGTAGAACTTCACATCACTCCTCTGGTCCACATGATTCTATCTAAGCAGCGTTTGTGCACTTGCAAGTCCTTAATATTGGGATGCTTTGCTAAAATACACTGTTTCAGCTGAAGAATACATTTTGCACCATACTGTACTTCTAGTCTACCATGACCTGAAATTTGCCATGTTTATGACAAGGGGCATTTCAATGCTCAAATACTCGTGCTGATGTAAGTTTTTCTGAAAGACCAACAAACAGAAATAAAGATCATTTATTCAGGACAGTGTGATATGAGTGAAAAACTTACTTTTCACCTGTAAAAAGTGAATGGGGTGTTCTGGTAATTGGTTGTAATTTTTTTTCAGTTTCCCAATACTATGCAAGGTGCTAAATTTTGTTTATTCAGCAATTAATAAATGATAGTCTGTCATAATTTGCTATACCCACTTTTCTTACTTGCATACCTCAAAAGCACTTCTCACTCTCTAAAGAAAATTTTAGAATGTCTAGAAGGACAGTGGTAAATATGAGAAGTGGTAGAGATTCTTGTTTAAATTAGCTAGCGGGTATTAAAATGTGCTGGATTTCTCAACTCACGCATTCAGGGCAGTCTGCCTCAAATAAGTTGAGTACACAGGGCAAACAAAGAGTGGGTTTGAAAAGCTGCTGTTTGTGCTATGTATTTTTGGAGCTCTTGCCTTTCGCACTGCATAGAGCAAAAGGAATCTAGCAGTAAAATGAAAATGGTTTGTCTAAGTGGGGATAGGTAGATTTGGCAGTGCAGTATCCTGTTTTCTAGCCTCAATGGTGTCTTTCAGTCATAGTTTCATTTATATTTTCAGTGAAGATACTCAGAGTAACATTGAGAAAGCACTGAGTGTAGCTGAGAAATTTTTGTTTCCTCAGGTCTATTCGTGCTGTAGAGCCATCAGAGCATACTGTAATACTTGCTGTGGTTCCACGCATGTAAGTATTACTGATTTGTGAGAGATTTTTATTTTACTTTATAAGAATATTATGCATAATAGTTATCTAATAACAGAAAGCATCTTACTAACAAGTTTAACAGAGTAAGTTTAATAATTTTCACCTGAAATGGGCTAGTGATGTTTTATGTTTTATTTGAGTGTTTGATAACTTTCCTTTCATGCACACTAGTATTATCCCTATCAGGTTCAGAATGGTTTGTATACTAAGAAAATTAGAAAGATATATGTTAGTTTCTAAAAGAAAAAAAAATCCAAACCAAAACCAGAAAGCTGTATATTACTTTCTAAAGGAAATAACTAGGTCAATTAACACACTGTGTTTTTTAGGGAACGAGGTAATGGAGCAAAATTCAATCCTATTTATGCTATAATTACCAGAATGTTATCCTGAAATCCTTATTCAGTAATTCATACTCCACGTGTTCAGGGAGAGTTCTTACTGACTTAAATACATCTTCATCAAATACCTTCAGACACCCTGATTGGAACTCTACACACTACTGAATCCATTGTCATTTTAATAATTTCCTAGATCAGTTAAAATATTAGGAAATAGAGTGACAAGAGAACTATTCCTGTCAAGATTCAAAAATAGACTAAATTTGCTGCTGAGCAAGATTTTACAACTTGCTTCACCTTTTTCTTAATAACTTTTTTTGAGATTATTTCTAAGAGGATATCACAGGATGTCTTTTATTCTCTTTCTTTTTGTAATCCCCTGACTGTGAAGAGACACAGGACTTCTGTAGAGGATCTGTCAGGTTTGCTGTAGGAATAACTATCAGGTTGTAGTAATAGCTGCAGATACCTATAAAAGAAGACTGTAGCATCAACTTCTGTAATTGTATGATTTTATGTATGTATTTTATGCAAAAGTGTTCTCACTGAGTTAGTTATGTTTAGATAACTTGTCAAATTTATACCATCTAATTCTTTAATGTTGTGTGACCATACAATATACCAGTCGTTTTTAATGTCTGTACTGATGATCTGGATGAGGGAATTGAATGCACCCTCAGTCATTCTGCAGATGACACAGAACTGAGTGGAAGTGTTGATCTGCTGGAGAGTAGGAAGGCTCTGCAGAGGGATCTGGACAGGCTGGATTGATGGGCTGAGGCCAATGGTATGAGGTTCAACAAGGCCAAGTCCTGGGTCCTGCCCTTGGGTCACAACAACCCCAGGCAGCACCACAGGCAGGGGGAGGAGTGGCTGGAAAGTGTACCAGCAGAAAAGGACACCCCCATGGGTGCTGGTTAAACAGTAGCTGAACATGAGCCAGCAGTGCCCAGGTGGCCAAGGAGGCCAATGGTATCCTGGCCTGTATCAGAAATAGCACGGCCAGCAGGACCAGGGAAGTGGTCCTCCCCTGCGCTTGGCACTGGTGAGGCCACATCTCAAATCCTGTGTCCAGTTCTGAGCCCCTCAATTCAAGAAGGACATTAAGGTGCTGGAGTGAGTCCAGAGAAGAACAGAGCTGGGGAAGGGGCTGGAGCATATGAGGAGTGACCGAAGGAGCTGGGGGTGTTTAGTCTGGAGAAAAGGAGGCTTGGAGTGGGGACCTTATAGCTCCCTACAGCCACCTGAAAGGAGGTTGTAGCGGGGTGAGGCTCAGTCTTTTCTCTCAAGTAGTAAGGGATCTGACAAGAGGAAATAACCTCAAGTTGTGCCAAGGGAGGTTTAGATTAGATATTATGAAAAATTTCTTCACTGAAAGGATTGCAAAGCATTGGACCAGGCTGCCCAGGAATCACCATCCCTGGATATACTTAGAGGACGTGTAGACATGGTACTTGGGACATGGTTTAGTGGTGGACTTGACAGTGCAGGGTTAAAGATTGGACTCGATGATCTTAACAGTCTTTTCCAACCTGAATGATTCTATGATTCTGTGATTTTGTTTCGCAGATCTGCTGACCAAGAAGAGACCTCTGTTCTTCCCCTTCTTGATGCAGGCTTTGATAGGGTAAGTATAATTTGCTCATGTAATATAGAAACCATATAGTAACTTCATAAATTACAGACACTTCTACTTCCTCAAACTGAAAACTATACATCCTCTTCCGTCAAAAATTTATTGATAAGAAACCTGTGACAGTTGATTTGGTATTCTTTTCAACAATGTATTCCAGAAGCATGTGAAATAAGAGACTCTGTGATTTAGCTAATCCTTTCAGAATAGCAAGAGTACTGAAATTAATTTCTTGTGGTCTGACTGGGCAGTGAGTGGGTTTTGTTTATGACTGCATTAAAAAACAATGATGGGAGACTGATGAACATGTGCTGCATATTGCAGCATACTGACTAGTCACCCCAACATCTCTGCGTGTCTCAGAATGCTGGGATTCCTCTTCCAATGGGACTACAAACCTGGTCCAGCTCCTGATGTGAAGAAGAATTTATTTTTTTTTCCCATGAGGTTTGTTGTCCTGGTTTGCACCAGTTCTCAGGACAGAGTTAGAAGCTCTCCTGTACAGGCAGCAGAAGTAAAGATAACTGTTCATACTGTTTCTCAAAACATCTTTGTAGGAGAGAGCAGAAAAGCAGGAGTTCTCAGCTCTGAATATCTGGGTTTCTTACCCTCTTCTAATCTTTGTGTGAATGTCTTTGGATGGGCATGAATGTTATGTTGCTATATTATAAATCAGCGGTATTATTTAAGTTCATAAGGAGTTATGTACTTAGGCAACAGAAGCACATCAGTGGACACTGTAATTAGAGAGATTTAACTATATATTGTCCTAAATATACATATAGTTAGGACAATGAATTGTAGTAAGGAATATCAGAGAAGGAGTGGAATTAGGTAGAATCTCATGCTCAGATGCTCGGATGTCCAGTATCTGAGCTAACTCACATTCAGCTCAAGTTTGTTTACATAGCAGAACATGCACCAGAATTACCATTTTCAGATCATCTCAAAATAAAAAGAGATACTAGGTCTTGCCTCTCCTGCCAGGGTGTTGTGGGGGCAAATGATTTGAAGGTCAAAGCCTTTCTAAAGCACATAGACACTCTGAAAATTGGAAAAGGTGAATCTAAGAGAAAGGTCAGCTCAAGAATGGCAGTACTTTCTTAGTGATCTCTCTCTCAAAAAAAAAAAAAAAAGCTTTCATAGTTTTCAAAGCAAACTTTATTACTTCTCAGTTCTAATGTTTCATTTTAAAATTATGCAGGAAAATGTTTCATGAGCTAGATTATAACTGTAGGTGTAGTACTGAGTAAAACCAGAGGAGACACTCTGCAGCATCGAGACACATTCCAGGGGCACACTGTCTGCCTAGGAAAATAAAATCTTTTTGCACCTGACAGCTGCTCTAATCATTCCCTCTTGCTGTCCCAAATTTATCAGAGAGCTTGTGCAATATAATAACTCCCTATTGGAATTATTTTCAAGACTTTAAAACACATCTGATGTCAAACATTCCATTTTTGCAGTGGTATAGACATAGGAACTATTTCTGCTTGGATAAATAGGGATCAGTAAGGACTAAATCCATTAACACATGAAACTGCCCCACACAAAGATTTAAAAATACCCTTCTTCAAGAGAGATGGTATTTGTAGGGAATCTCTTCCTCTGGAGCAAAAATGAAATTTATTTTTGGAAAATCATACCTGTTTAAATAATAATTTTTTCTTGTTTACTTATTTCTGTTTTTTCTTCCTCCTTCTCAAGAAAGTCTATTTTATTGCATCTTCTGATTTTCCCCCTATATCATTAACCACTTTTGTGTTTGTGTATTAATGCTGTTCTTAGTCCAGTATATTAATTATGTTGATTTTTTTTTTCCTCTCAACCTCATAAATCTAATAGTGGTGGCCTACTTAGGATGGACTAATTTGAATAAGTGATTTAGCTTCCTGACTGATTTTTAGCACTGATTTAAATCAGCAAACAGGGGATCTGAATGTTTGCAATTATTGAATTACAGTCTTGTCTTGTATTTTGAACTTTTTTCCTAAACAAATGTTGATTCTCATTCTCATTCTCAGATACTATTAAAACTCTCTGGATTGGAACAAAAGAAGTTTTTAATGTTAAACCTAGTACCAATTGCTAAGCAGGAAGAATAATGTACTCCTACTAGCTAATGATTCTAGTGGCTTGTGTGAAGTTCTGTATAGAGCAACAATGGAATCCAATTATAATGAAGTAAAAAATAATTTAAGGGTATATGTTAGTTAAATGAAAATATACTGTATAAATATGAAACTTTTTAAAAAGAAATTGTTGTTGTCTGCCTCTAATATTTGAGAGGGGCAGAGATTAAAAAAAGGAAATGTTTCCTGCTATTTTCAGGTCCCAATTGATTTCTTTGCTTTGAGTCAGCCAGTGAATGAATGGCATCAGCCCTGTAAACTTAAATAAACTGATTCTGTACATCTGCAGAAGACTATACAACACCCAAGAGCAGGTTTAGCACTTCAGTAAGCTGCAGTTCTTGGTTCTTAGCCAAAGATTTGTGCCAAGAGTTTTGTCAGTAAACAGCAGGGTTTAATTTTGTCAGTAAACTGCACTGCTTTAAAAAGCTGTTTATAAAGAGACTTACTATATTCTAGTAAGTCTAGTTTATAAAATAAGATTGCCATCAATGATAAATTTTATATTATTGATAGATTTGTTCTTATATTGTTTTAAATTTAGCACAAAATTGAATATTTAAAAGAGCACCCTAAAACTGAAAATCTAAATCTACAGTGCTATAGAAGAGAAGTTTGTTTGCAGACAGTTTGTTATGCAAAAACACAATGCTATTTGCACCTTTGCTTCTGCCAACTTGATACTGTGTGTTTTGTTTTCCCTTAGTGTGTGAAGTGAGAGTTACAGAAATACTTTAAGATCTTTGCATTAAGGAGTGAAACAGACTCATGCTGACAGTTGTTTTTAATTTTATTTTTTTACATTTTGCTTAAAACTTGGAATTAAGCCATTGGTCCCCACAGGTTTTATACAGGAGAGAAGCACAGATTTCCTAAAAGCTATTTTTCGTTCCTTGGAGGTTTGCATGCTACCTCTTGACTCTGCATGCAGCTGTGCTGTGAGAACTAGTGACAACACAGGGTATTTCATGTGGTAACTAAAGTCAGTGCATGTGATCATCAATAAACTTTATTTGAAGTCAAAGAATCTACTTCTTTTGTAGCAATGTAAAATTTCTGATTTCAGCAGGATCAAGCACAAGACCTTTTAGATTACTACCTGTGCCTGACAAAGAGAGGACAAGATCTCTCCTGTCTGGAGTAAAAGTTTGTTCACTGTTGTTAGCATGCTCCTTACATTACATACTTTTCTGCACTTCTGAAATCACATTGACAGCTCAGTGAGATTACTTGTGAATCAGAGTCACTTCTGAGCTTTAGCTACAATATTTGCTTGGGAAAAAATGCCAAATAATTTTTTTTTCTCTCTGTTTTTTAGCATGAATGTTTTATGTCTCTAAGGTTTTCCATTCTGAATTAAGGATAGATGTTCCAAATGAAACATCAAGGCAATACTGGTTTTGTGTAAGACTGTTTTGGGGTTTTTTTTTTAGATTTTCTGTTTCTAACTGGGTTGCTAGAACCAAATGGAAAAATCCACAGTTGAGGTTTTAGCATATTTTATACTTGTTTTGTACTTAGATAGCCATGTTGTCTTAAAAACTAGGAACTCATTCCTGAGGAACAGATGATTACTCAACACAAAAGGTACAACAAAAGCTTATTTCTACAGAATCACAAGATGGTTGAGGTTGGAAGGGTCCTTGGGGGTCATCTACCCAATCTCCCTACTGAAGTAGAGACACCTGAGGTAGCTTGCCCAGGACCATGCCACACAGCTTTTGAAGATCTTCAAATCATCCTGGGCAACCTATGCCAGTGCTTGGTCACCCTCACAGTAAAAAAAAAAGTGTTGCCTGATATTCAGAGGTAATCTCCTGTGGTTCTGTTTGTACCTGTTGCCTCTGGTCCTGTCACTGGGCACCACTGGAAAGAGGCTGGCTCTGTCCTCTTACAATCACTCTTCAGATATTTATGTACCTTGATGAGTTCCCCACCTCAGCCTCCTGTTCTCCAGGCTGAACAGTCCCATCCAGACTGAACAGTCCCAGCTCTCTCAACCTTTCCCCACAGAAGAGGTGCTTAATCACCCTTGTGGCCCTTTGCTGGCCTCATGCCAGCTCTCTTTATAAGGTCAGAGTTTTAAATGCAGGAACAGAAATAACAGTTTAAAACCATTCCGATCTATTTCATGCACTCTTGATTTGTTTTCCAGCAATTCATGGAGAACAGCAGTGTAACTGCTTGTTACAATGAACTGCTTCAAATAGAGCATGGGGAAGTGCGATCTCAGTTCAAATTACGGTATGTAGAAGTGTAAGAAACTGCAAACATCAACCTTTTGGTCTAAGTAATCATATCAGGTTGCTTCTTGCTTCTTCCCAGCTATGCATATGTGTGTTTTGCATGTGCATGTTAACTAATACACTTTTGTATTTTCTCCTTCTGTTATTTTGTAAAGGACAAACTTAAGTGTCTTAGTAATTGGTACCCTGAGAATGCTTGGTCAAAAACTGTGAATTTACACGATGGTAGAACTTCACAAAGTCGTTCTTGATCTTGTGTGTCTAAGATTTTATATTTAATAGATTGAGCTGAATGCAATCTTGATTATTTTCTTGCTTGGGCAAAACTTGGTGGGTCAGGAGCACAGTTTTTTATCATAATGAGAAAATAAATTACTTTCATTCTCTTATCACTTTTTCCTAAATGTGATTAATTTCATGTTTAATATAGTTGCTTATGCATGCATGTAGATACTTTTGCAATGCAAGTACATGAAAGAAAAAGCCCTAGAAGTTGAGTGTAATGCAGAGGAGGGGTCATTCTCTGTGTCTTAAATTCCAGTAACAGAAAATACTACCATTTTTCCACAGGTTTCAGTGACTCTGTTTAAGAAATAGATTTTTGAAGATTTTCTTTGCAAACTGATCCCTAAATGACTTCATATTTTCAAGTGATTGTGTGTTTGTGCATGCAGAATGCAATTATAATAAAATTTCCAGGGAAAAAGTCTAATTTGGGCTTACACAATTTTAATAGTTGTTTTCTAAAACTCAGCAGGAGAATAAAGCAGCTATGACATTTTAGAAGTTAAATTTTAGCAGTTAATTATTAGTTGTGGTGGTCCTGACTTGGTTCGTTGTTAGTTGCAAATGCAAGATTAAATAAGCATCTTCTGAATGAAGTCAGCGTAGATCAGAAACATCAATTTTATATGGACAGATTAAGCTGTCATTTAAACACACAACGCTTGTATTTCATATTTTATTTCAAGAACAAGATCCAAATACATTTTGTGCATCTCTACATGAGTAGTATCAAATATGAATGCAAATAATTAGAACTCCAAGCCAGGGAGCATGATTCATATTGGCTACCATATTTTTCCGTAAGTTCATTTACAGCCGTTAAAGTTCATTAAAATTGGAAGGAAACAATGTCAGTCCCCGATGGCATTTCATCTACTGACAGTTCTTTCATCCATATTGTTTATGGAAACAGCAGCAATTCTGCTTGCTCTTGCTCTTTTGTATGGAGTTACATAAACTGTGAGCCTACTTCATTTTAATTTATGTAAATAATATTATATAAAATTCATCCTGTGTTATCATGTCTTTTGTATATTGATAATAAACATTATATATATTTTTGTGGATTTATATGTATCCACATCACCTCTGAACACGACTCTTTTGGGAACCTTTGGCAGCACTGTAAAATACTATGGAAAGAAAAGGTGGTATCTTTGGGTTTGCTACTGCCACTACGAGATGCAGTCCCAGAATAATTAAGTAAAGAGTTTAACAGATGTAGGCCCAATATAGCTAAGCAGCTAAACCTTGTCATCTAACAAGCACAAGTAATACTTACAAGCAACTTTTGTACTAAAATCGGGGGTTATAATGTAGCCTTTTAAAAGGTAAACTTTCTGAAAAGCTGTATTTGTAACCTGGAAAAGCTGATGTCTCATCCCTACCTCTGCCTTATTTGGCAGGTGCCATTAAAAACTAAACAGAGCTGGTATTTGGAAATGCTATTTAGTTACAATTTGTTTTTCACTCGTGGTTTAATTAAGTGGGTAAAAAAGTGTTGTACTGTATGTCTGTCTCACTTGTTGCTGGTCTGTAGGTCTTCTCTACAGCTTTGTAACAGTGAAAGGGAAGAGAATGCAGAAGGTTAGTCTATGGAATTAAACCCAGGATATTTCAAGTGTTCAGACACAAGAGAAACATGGTGAAAGAGTAGAACCAGCCCAAGAAAATAGATACGGTCATGTCAGTAGTCAGAAATGTCTTTCCTTTCCTAGCAGGGACTCTGCTTCTCCGCATTGTTGCTCCTGGTTTGAAAATTGGTTGGACATCTGTGTGTCAATCAAAAAGGATATGGGCTTGTAATTTTGCTGGCTTGATTGCCAGATCAAATGAAAATACTAAGGCTTGAATAGTGAAAACATACCTGTATGTTTTCATACAGAATGTTTACATTTGTAATGACATTTGTTCGCAGCTGTCACTGAGATAAATCTGTCACTGAGATAAATCAGTTACTTCACACAGCACAAAATCACACTTGGGAACCAGCTTGGATTGCTGGAAAATCACTTGTAAAAGCTCCTTTTATTATATGAATTGAAATACTTCTGTCATTTTCTGGATATCACTTTTTGTCTAGAAATCTTCATCAATGCAGCTACATGTCAGTGTTTCTGTGTATATCTCTTCATGCATCCTATTTGGGTTATTGTTAATTCCATGATAAGCGGAAGTAGAAACGTCCTGTATTTCTTAGTTCTCTAGTCATTGGTACTATCTCAAACTCTACTATGCAGTCTTGGAGCAAGATGTTTCTTTTAAGTAATAACTGTATACAAGAATGTTCATGCATTTTTGCTCCCTGCAGCGAGAGGCATATAAAAGGTAATTAGTTTGTCTTTAGTCCAAATCAGATGAAATACTGACATCTATCAAAGCAAGTATGCCAGGTTGTTTTTTTAGTATGCACTTTCCCTGCCCATGGCAGCGGGGTTGGAAAGAGATCTTTTTTCAGGTCCCTTTCAACCCAAACCATCCTGTGATTCTATTAGATATACTTTTTTTCCTTAGCCTTAGGAGCCTATATTAATGTTAAGGCCATTTGTGTAAATCATAATTTAAGCAACTTAAATTTTGTAGCAAGAAGACAAGGCTTTTGTTTTCATGCACTAGTTCAAGGATAGCCCTGAAAAAAAATGGGTAATAAAGATCATTTTGGCCCTTAAAAATCAGGATGTATGGAAATCAAGTCATTGCATTATTATTTGGGAGCAGGAAAATTGACATTTTTTGGACTAGAACTTTGAGATGGCTTAGATTGTTTCCTTTAACTATGTTGTATTACAGCTTCTTTGACAGTGCCAATCCATTTGCTTATTGAAAACTTTGTATATATCTGCTATGATGATTTTTGTGTTCCCAATCTTTAATGGTCACAAAACTTGTAACAGTAGCATGTTAGTTTTACTGCTAATTGTTAGTTCCTGCTGTTCAAAGCATGTATGTAGATAAAAATATACTATTAAGATGCTGCAGTGCCTATAAGCACTTTTACAATGTGATCTGCAGTAAAAGCATGTTAACAAGGCTGTCTGAGGCTGGATGTTCTGAAAAAAGTCATACTGAAGATAGTGACACGGTTTAGTCAAAACAACGGCAACTTTGTGATTCATCTACCAATAAGTACAATTTCATAATGTATTTATAGTGAACAAAATGTTCTAACAATAAAACTAATGTGCTAATCCTTTGCTAATTTCAGAGCTTGTAATGCAGTGTTTACAGCATTAGACCATTGTCAGGAAGCTGTAGAAATAACCAGTGAAGATCATGTCATTCAGGTAGGGGGGGAAACTTTAACTATTTTATAGAATTGGAAAAGAAGAACCCCAAAGAGATCTTTGCACAGTAGTTCCTGTTCTATTTCAGTATTTTAGTTTTGTTGCCCGTTAGAAAACCTTGTGGAATTAAGTGCCTAATTTTTGGATGATGCACACTGATGCCTGCTGAATAAGACTTTTCCTTCAGTAACCGTATTTAGATTATAATTTTCAGTAAAGTAATGTTGTCTATGGTAAAACCTGTATTATTCTCTTTCTGTGCTTTCTGATAGGAGGTTACATATCGCTTGCTGTGTTCAGCTTCTTACTTGAATAAAATGTTTCACCATCACATAGTATTTTTATATGAGAAACACCTAATTGTAGGGATGTGTGGTTGTGGTTTTAGCCATATAACTTGTCACACTTCGATAGTTAAATGTGAGTAATTATCCTTTAAGTACGTTTCTTTAGATACTGACAAAAGGTACTTTTGTCTTGGCAGTATGTTAACCCAGCCTTTGAACAGATGATGGGATACTGCAAGGGAGAGCTTATTGGCAAGGAACTTACTGAATTACCTAAAAGCGATAAAAACTGTGCAGATCTTTTAGACAACATAAACACATTCATTAAAAAAGGAAAGGTAAGCAAATAAAACAATCTCATTGCTATAGATTCTGCTTTATTTTTTATTTATATATTCAGCATTATTTTTCATCATTCTGGGTTTAAGAACACAAGGTGTGTTCTTCATGAGTGTACATATAAGACCACAATTCTGCTCCTTAGATGTCTAAGGACCACAACAGCCCATGTCACAGACAAGTGACTACAGATTTCATTAGCTTTGCTTTTAGGATCTGACTGAACTCTTACCGATCTGTTGGCTTAAGATCAGTATCAGAATGTTTTCTCTGTTTCCATTTTGCTTATGGGGCCTCTGGTGGTCTAGTGGTTAGGGTGCAGGACTCTCACCGCTGCGACCCGGGTTCGATCCCCAGCCCCCCGGGCAGATGGAGCTCGTCAGCCCTGTAAGGCAATCCATCTAAGAGAAGGTCACTCTAAA